TGTCCAGAGTATCGATAGGAAACCATTCCTTATGATGGTGCTTCTTGCGGCCCGGCACCTCCTGAAACTTTGAAGTCAATGCTTTTTTAATCCCTTCCCAGTTGTCCTCCATGGTAGCTTCTTCTTTCAGTAGGTCCTGTAAATTTTGGAACCTGATGTCTAGAGTTATCCTGAATTCTTTGAGTTTGTCAGCATCTCGAAGGAAGGTTGTATTAAACTCTTGTAATGCTATTTCTTCAGTTTTTCAATGTTCTTTCAGCTCGTTTCATTTTGGCCATAACCGGGTGGTGGTGATCTGAAGCTATGACAGCTCCTCTCCTGGTTCTCACATCTCCCATTGACCTGAATATCTTAGTGGTACGAATGTGACCGATCTGGTTCTTTGTAGTGTGATCCGGTGAGACTCATGTAGCTTTTTGTATGCATTTTTGGGGTAATATAGTGCCTCCTACAACCGTTTTGTTGAATGCACATAAATTTGCAAATCTGTCACCATTCTCATCACTTTCTCCCTGTCAGTTCATAGCGTCCCGTGATGTCTGCATACTCAGTATTGTCTATCCCGACTTTGGCGTTTAGGTCTCCGGTCAGGTTCCTGAGCACTTCACTAAGATCAATTGTAGCTTCTCGTAAAACTGGTATTTAACGTCTTCGTTGCTATTATCGGTGGGTGAATAACATTCATTGTGATCCCCTTCTTTGTCTTGAAGGATACTTTGATGATTCCGGATCTATGAGATTATCATCCTATAAGTGAGTTTTGTGCTTCTTTGGACAGCATCAGAGCAACTCCCTGAGTGTAGATCATTTTCTTCTTCGTGACCAGAGTATGAGTGAACCTCTCTCGAATCTAACCTTTTCTGTCCAGTTTGGGTCCAATGTGTCTCACTGATTCCGAGCACCACCACGTTGTATCTCCTCATTTCTGTAGCTATTTGACTGGTTCACTCGGTCTCTCACATTGTTCGGACATTTCATGTACCTACATTAATTGTTGATATAGTTGTTAGAGGGAAAACCGGACTCATGGCTTCCGAACAATCTTGGCTTTTACCATGTGTTATAATTTTTCTGGACGAAGATTCAAGTCGGACGGAAGAGTTTGAATTGTTTATTTTGGTTAGTGTTTTTCAACAAGGTTATTTTCTACGAGATAGGGTTGCTGACCCCGTGCTCAACAATCCTTCTTTACTCGGGCTTGGGAGCGATAGTAACCATAGGAGAGCTACAGGGAGACTTTAAAGGAAAAAGGCGAATTAGAGAATATTGTAATATTTTCTTTACAATGAAGTAAAAGTCATCCAATCAATAAGTAGAATTAAATATTCTTTTTTCTTAATGATGTATACCAAATAACTGATGAGAATATTGAAATGTTTAGTGCTGACGATCCAAATGTAACTTCACAACTATTTTGAAATAGGAACTAATTCAAATGTAGTATTAATATGACTACCCCGATGATATGTGAAGGTTAGTCTAAGTAAGGATATACCTATACAATGATTGATAACGGAATATAATGACACAAGAATAAATCGTAGGGCAATGATAGCCAAAACACATGATATGAATTTTATTACAGACTACACAAAGACTCACAAGTTTCAACAGTGAGACCAACAAACTTACATTCTTAAGAAAATAGATTTTTTAATTAGACAAGAATTTGTTTGATAACAGAATAAGATCAATAGATACTGAGTAAAGTTATAGTCTAACAAGATAAGTGCCTATCCATCAATACTATCAGAAAAATATTATAACGGAGGATGAAAATGATTTACGGGTCAGAATTATGAAGGATAATTGTCCGCTTGACAGATATATGAAGGATGAAAAAATGTAAAAGTCATAATCATAACTGAATAATAATCATTAAAAATTGTTAAGAGCTTAAAATAAGTGATTACGGTTTAAAATTATAAAACAATAATGAGAACAAAACAAAACCAAAACATACTACAGAAGGGAATCAGGGTTATGGAAGGATGAATGATATGTGGTAACGAGTTGGACATGCAGTTCTTGCACAGAATTCGCACCTGAATTGGTGGATCGCCAATAAATTTATATAATAAATGCCAAATATACTCAGATTATCTAAATTATATTTATTAAAATAACTGCAAAAATACTTGTGTGCTTAGTGTAAAGTGAACCTCTGGTCATGTACAACTTACTTTTTCTGAAACTAAATGCAGCCTAGACAGCAAACGTATCAGTATAGTGTGAAGCCCATTAATTCTCTCTAGTGGTTTACGACCACAAAGCAGTTAACAGTAATAAAATGTCTAAAAGTTTCAGTTTAACTTGGATTTCACTAGATTCGCACGTTATCTATACCTGGATGGACACATTACCTAAATCAAAGGCTTATATAGTTCTTTTTTGTAAGAAGAGTTCACAATGCACCCATAAGATTAAATAATTATGAAAAAAACAATGATGTAAATGTTAGTTAGAAATTCGGAAGTAGTTTAAATTTACACCAATATCACAAGTGATATTTAAGTGTTCTCTGAAAGTCATCCTTGGGACTAAATCTTTAAAACATCTATCCGTTTGATCACAACCGACTCAGAATCCTTGATTTGCACATTTCTATTGTTCGGAAACATATTCCCAGTGCTTATTTCTCACTATTATTTTTATAATTATTTCAGATGATTCACGACTGGTATCGTTAACTCATCCCATTATGATATACATATTTATGAGTCTCCATGTTGATTACGACTGACTGATTACCAGAAAAGGAACAGTTTCTGCCTACTTAGACGATTTGTAATATTAGTTTGAACACATTAACGACCACTTAAAACCAGTTGCACATTGCATTTGAAGTAGTGATATACTCTGTAGATAATAGATACATTTACTGTCTGATTTATACATACCGTAATGTTTACAGTGTAGTGTTTACCTATAAACTCAAAAATCTATGTAAATTCACTTTTTTCTCTGTCTTGAAAGTTTTATTTGATATGAACGACTGGGAACTATGGGGAAGATTCGACTAATACAAGGAACTCCATGCATATGCACTTTAAGAACTTAACTAATAAAGGAGCCATGATGGAACAGGATAGATGAGACAACAAACATTAAATACATGATTTAAACAAATTTCTTTTACGTAACCTATATACGTAAAAGAATGCTATACCTAAAATAATCTTTTGCATACGAAGCAGAAAAATGAATATTGCACAACAGTAATTCGGTTCAGATTATCAAATCTACCAATAATAGAGAGAAATCTAAGAGGAAACTGTTAACAGGAATCAGTCAATATGGAGCATACAGCTACAATGTGTTTAGGACGGCATACGGCAAAATGACAAGTGATGTATCCTTTTGACCCTTAGAATGTATATTATAATTCTTCGTGTCTACAACAACTGGTCCCAAACACATCGAGTCTTTTATTCAATGTCTACACGTCTTTGATGAATAGTGTTTACATTATGTCATTACAAAGTCTACCATAAAGTACACGTGATAACACTAGAAAAGTAGCGAATATAAGGATAATTTGAAAAACAGAACAACGAGAATCACTGCGCATGTTTATATGTAAAGGTCGAGAGAAGTTACATGACATACAACTGAAGTTACTTCCGCATGTACTATAGATTATGCAAGACAGTTGGTGTTTGAGATAGGTAATAATAACCCGACTACTATTTCCTTAAATCCAATGTCAATAGGCTAAACCATTACTACCTGAAATAATCATGAATTCCATCATTTAATTATCCAGTTCTTTATACAGTAGTCACTTCATTTCCCGAATGAGCCATAGAAAAATGCCCAACTTCGGTTCATATTTCTGTAGCTATGAGAGGGGTAGACAACAGTGACTAAATGTACCACCCTCTCAGCTTCTGGTGCAAGACACTACTCAACTAACACCAATATTGTAGATAGAGCTGGAGTATTACCATTATCCCTTCAAGTCATGAGTTTTATAAACAACTCAAAGCAGGAAATGTCAAGTTCGAAAGAATATAGAAGTCTACCAACGAAGTAATCAGGAGTGGACTTGATAATGCAACAGACGGAAAATTCCCTTTCGCTGGTAGGTCCATCATAAATCCTCAGAATGAAGTTATTAGTAAGAGGAATAAAACATACAGCAAGAATGGGTAACCAGGAAATCATGAGTCATTTTAGTTATTTAATCTAAATGAATTGCAAAGTATAGACTTATGTACTCGACTTTAAGCCACACCATGAGTGCTAGTGCTAAAAACTGATTTTCCAAATCAAAATATGTGGGAAAACAACTTTGATCTTATGACGGTACTTCAACTACAAGGCCATTGCTCCGTTATCATAGGAGTATGAATAAATACCTCTGGTTTTTTAAGGGTATCTTGTTCTCTGAGCTGGATAATTTAGTTGTGAAGCTCGAAATCCACAGCCTGAGCTACGAATATCTCCCACCATCTCAAATACCTCTTAACTACTGGTATGGGGAAGGAACCTTAAAAACTTTTCAGATGTATCAACTTCATATAAATGACCATCTTCAAACATAAATTACACTTCTACCATTACATTCCAGATCTTACACGTGAAATCAGTCAAATGAATAGACGAAAGATATGTGTATTAATGTGAAGAACCCATTAATTAAGCTTCGCTAACTGTAACAATGTTTCCATGATATCCTAACATTATAGTCATATTGTTTGGAACACAGGAAAACCAAAAGAAGTGAATCTTAGTCCCCAGGGAGAAGGCTTAAAAATATGATATCAATATTGCAAAAGATACCGGTTACTGATTTTAACCAGTTATCTCTTGGAACTACTAATTGTAGTTTCTAACTTCGATTCCTTAATTATTCACAAAAGCGTGAAGTGATTATAGTATGCCCATGGACTATTTCGGAAAAAAAGTACGCAATAATTTTGATTATATTGACAGCACTCATGCGACATAAAAACAACCATAAAATCAAAATAGCCACAAATAAGGTCTTAAAAACTTTATGATTTTCGTGTAGCATCCACAAATACGAGAGGATCTTTGCCCACAACACGAGCAGAATGTGGTATATTGCGAGGAACTTCAAGACGATCACCAGGACCTAATATAATTTCCTTTCCATACATAGTGAACGAAAGCTGGCCGCTAACAATACAGTCCAGTTTATCTTCGTTGTGGGTATGTTCCGGAAAATTGGTGCCAGGACTGAACTTGTAATTTATGTAACTGCAACCCTGCAATCAGTGAACAAATAAATTTGGCAACTACATTATTATACAAAATAATTGACGATACCTCCGATTTGAGCTTCTTTAGCATATTTTCTAGGGTGAGTTGGCCATCAACGGATTCATCCCAACGGTGGACAACAAACTCGGACATCTAGAAACAGAAGTAAATACACTACCATAGTTGAACATAACTTGAAGAAAAACCACTCTATAAGTGCAGCAAAGACAATACATTTTATAAAATATATTACGTCTAGCTGCTAATCATATCAGTAAATACAATGATTGAATATATAAAAGAGCATACAAAAAAGTTGAATTTGTATGGACGATTATCAGGTCGTTGTAATACAACCTGCGAAATTGTCCAAAACTCGATGTGGCACTCATACAACTAAGGAATACTGAGTGCGGACAACATTCACACGTAGTTCAGAGAACAACAGCATTCACACAATACAACATTGCATTTGTATGGACGATTATCAGGTCGTTGTAATACAACCTGCAAAATTGCCCAAAACTCGATGTGGCACTCATACAACTAAGGAATACTGAGTGCGGACAACATTCACACGTAGTTCAGAGAACAACAGCATTCACACAATACATCATTCCATTTGTATGGACGATTATCAGGTCGTTGTAATACAACCTGCAAAATTGCCCAAAACTCGATGTGGCACTCATACAACTAAGGAATACTGAGTGCGGACAACATTCACACGTAGTTCAGAGAACAACAGCATTCACACAATACATCATTCCATTTGTATGGACGATTATCAGGTCGTTGTAATACAACCTGCAAAATTGCCCAAAACTCGATGTGGCACTCATACAACTAAGGAATACTGAGTGCGGACAACATTCACACGTAGTTCAGCGAACAACAGCATTCACACAATACATCATTCCATTTGTATGGACGATTATCAGGTCGTTGTAATACAACCTGCGAAATTGTCCAAAACTCGATGTGGCACTCATACAACTAAGGAATACTGAGTGCGGACAACATTCACACGTAGTTCAGAGAACAACAGCATTCACACAATACAACATTGCATTTGTATGGACGATTATCAGGTCGTTGTAATACAACCTGCAAAATTGCCCAAAACTCGATGTGGCACTCATACAACTAAGGAATACTGAGTGCGGACAACATTCACACGTAGTTCAGAGAACAACAGCATTCACACAATACATCATTGCATTTGTATGGACGATTATCAGGTCGTTGTAATACAACCTGCAAAATTGCCCAAAACTCGATGTGGCACTCATACAACTAAGGAATACTGAGTGCGGACAACATTCACACGTAGTTCAGAGAACAACAGCATTCACACAATACAACATTGCATTTGTATGGACGATTATCAGGTCGTTGTAATACAACCTGCAAAATTGCCCAAAACTCGATGTGGCACTCATACAACTAAGGAATACTGAGTGCGGACAACATTCACACGTAGTTCAGAGAACAACAGCATTCACACAATACATCATTGCATTTGTATGGACGATTATCAGGTCGTTGTATACAACCTGCAAAATTGCCCAAAACTCGATGTGGCACTCATACAACTAAGGAATACTGAGTGCGGACAACATTCACACGTAGTTCAGAGAACAACAGCATTCACACAATACAACATTGCATTTGTATGGACGATTATCAGGTCGTTGTAATACAACCTGCAAAATTGCCCAAAACTCGATGTGGCACTCATACAACTAAGGAATACTGAGTGCGGACAACATTCACACGTAGTTCAGCGAACAACAGCATTCACACAATACAATCATTGCATTTGTATGGACGATTATCAGGTCGTTGTAATACAACCTGCAAATTGCCCAAAACTCGATGTGGCACTCATACAACTAAGGAATACTGAGTGCGGACAACATTCACACGTAGTTCAGAGAACAACAGCATTCACACAATACATCATTGCATTTGTATGGACGATTATCAGGTCGTTGTAATACAACCTGCAAAATTGCCCAAAACTCGATGTGGCACTCATACAACTAAGGAATACTGAGTGCGGACAACATTCACACGTAGTTCAGAGAACAACAGCATTCACACAATACATCATTCCATTTGTATGGACGATTATCAGGTCGTTGTAATACAACCTGCAAAATTGCCCAAAACTCGATGTGGCACTCATACAACTAAGGAATACTGAGTGCGGACAACATTCACACGTAGTTCAGAGAACAACAGCATTCACACAATACAATCATTCCATTTGTATGGACGATTATCAGGTCGTTGTAATACAACCTGCAAAATTGCCCAAAACTCGATGTGGCACTCATACAACTAAGGAATACTGAGTGCGGACAACATTCACACGTAGTTCATCGAACAACAGCATTCACACAATACAACATTGCATTTGTATGGACGATTATCAGGTCGTTGTAATACAACCTGCAAATTGCCCAAAACTCGATGTGGCACTCATACAACTAAGGAATACTGAGTGCGGACAACATTCACACGTAGTTCAGAGAACAACAGCATTCACACAATACACATTGCATTTGTATGGACGATTATCAGGTCGTTGTAATACAACCTGCAAAATTGCCCAAAACTCGATGTGGCACTCATACAACTAAGGAATACTGAGTGCGGACAACATTCACACGTAGTTCAGAGAACAACAGCATTCACACAATACATCATTCCATTTGTATGGACGATTATCAGGTCGTTGTAATACAACCTGCAAAATTGCCCAAAACTCGATGTGGCACTCATACAACTAAGGAATACTGAGTGCGGACAACATTCACACGTAGTTCAGAGAACAACAGCATTCACACAATACAACATTGCATTTGTATGGACGATTATCAGGTCGTTGTAATACAACCTGCAAAATTGCCCAAAACTCGATGTGGCACTCATACAACTAAGGAATACTGAGTGCGGACAACATTCACACGTAGTTCAGAGAACAACAGCATTCACACAATACATCATTCCATTTGTATGGACGATTATCAGGTCGTTGTAATACAACCTGCAAATTGCCCAAAACTCGATGTGGCACTCATACAACTAAGGAATACTGAGTGCGGACAACATTCACACGTAGTTCAGAGAACAACAGCATTCACACAATACATCATTGCATTTGTATGGACGATTATCAGGTCGTTGTAATACAACCTGCAAAATTGCCCAAAACTCGATGTGGCACTCATACAACTAAGGAATACTGAGTGCGGACAACATTCACACGTAGTTCAGAGAACAACAGCATTCACACAATACAATCATTGCATTTGTATGGACGATTATCAGGTCGTTGTAATACAACCTGCAAAATTGCCCAAAACTCGATGTGGCACTCATACAACTAAGGAATACTGAGTGCGGACAACATTCACACGTAGTTCAGAGAACAACAGCATTCACACAATACAATCATTCCATTTGTATGGACGATTATCAGGTCGTTGTAATACAACCTGCAAAATTGCCCAAAACTCGATGTGGCACTCATACAACTAAGGAATACTGAGTGCGGACAACATTCACACGTAGTTCAGAGAACAACAGCATTCACACAATACAACATTGCATTTGTATGGACGATTATCAGGTCGTTGTAATACAACCTGCAAAATTGCCCAAAACTCGATGTGGCACTCATACAACTAAGGAATACTGAGTGCGGACAACATTCACACGTAGTTCAGCGAACAACAGCATTCACACAATACATCATTCATTTGTATGGACGATTATCAGGTCGTTGTAATACAACCTGCAAAATTGCCCAAAACTCGATGTGGCACTCATACAACTAAGGAATACTGAGTGCGGACAACATTCACACGTAGTTCAGCGAACAACAGCATTCACACAATACAACATTGCATTTGTATGGACGATTATCAGGTCGTTGTAATACAACCTGCAAAATTGCCCAAAACTCGATGTGGCACTCATACAACTAAGGAATACTGAGTGCGGACAACATTCACACGTAGTTCAGCGAACAACAGCATTCACACAATACACATTGCATTTGTATGGACGATTATCAGGTCGTTGTAATACAACCTGCAAAATTGCCCAAAACTCGATGTGGCACTCATACAACTAAGGAATACTGAGTGCGGACAACATTCACACGTAGTTCAGAGACAACAGCATTCACACAATACAACATTGCCATTTGTATGGACGATTATCAGGTCGTTGTAATACAACCTGCAAATTGCCCAAACTCGATGTGGCACTCATACAACTAAGGAATACTGAGTGCGGACAACATTCACACGTAGTTCAGAGAACAACAGCATTCACACAATACAACATTGCATTTGTATGGACGATTATCAGGTCGTTGTAATACAACCTGCAAATTGCCCAAAACTCGATGTGGCCACTCATACAACTAAGGAATACTGAGTGCGGACAACATTCACACGTAGTTCAGAGAACAACAGCATTCACACAATACATCATTGCATTTGTATGGACGATTATCAGGTCGTTGTAATACAACCTGCAAAATTGCCCAAAACTCGATGTGGCACTCATACAACTAAGGAATACTGAGTGCGGACAACATTCACACGTAGTTCAGAGAACAACAGCATTCACACAATACATCATTGCATTTGTATGGACGATTATCAGGTCGTTGTAATACAACCTGCAAAATTGCCCAAAACTCGATGTGGCACTCATACAACTAAGGAATACTGAGTGCGGACAACATTCACACGTAGTTCAGAGAACAACAGCATTCACACAATACAACATTGCCATTTGTATGGACGATTATCAGGTCGTTGTAATACAACCTGCAAAATTGCCCAAAACTCGATGTGGCACTCATACAACTAAGGAATACTGAGTGCGGACAACATTCACACGTAGTTCAGAGAACAACAGCATTCACACAATACAACATTGCCATTTGTATGGACGATTATCAGGTCGTTGTAATACAACCTGCAAAATTGCCCAAAACTCGATGTGGCACTCATACAACTAAGGAATACTGAGTGCGGACAACATTCACACGTAGTTCAGAGAACAACAGCATTCACACAATACATCATTGCAATTTGTATGGACGATTATCAGGTCGTTGTAATACAACCTGCAAATTGCCCCAAACTCGATGTGG